AATAAACATTTTTTATTCATTCAGTGATGTTCATCAAATACTAGAATGATGCTTAGAACATAGTAAGCATGTAAAAGATATATGTTGAGTGAAAAAACAGTAATCAGCTTTGGCAAATAATTGCCAATGTTAACAATGCATATGGAATATGACCTTTTTATCATTATGAAAAAAGTGATAAGATACTGTCAAATCTAATTAAAAATAAGTCGAAGCTGTGCCTTAAATATAATATAAAGGAACAAGCCAATGTGTGGCTCCATATGGAACTGTTGAGGCATTCCTAAAGTAGAAATAGCCAGATGAACTTGCAGGTGTTTGCATCCTTCTGTGGACTTGCCATGAGATGGAAGCCCAGTAACTGACTGTACTACTGATTACTGCATTCTAGAAAAAGTCAATATATCTTAAAAATATTCCACTTTTAAAAGTCACTTATCTAAAAACTGGTTAACTATTTTTTTTAAATGGGACAATGTTTTGCTCTGTAGCATTGTCTTGAGCATTGCAAGATGTTTGACCAAGTGCATTTTTGTAGTTCCCCATTTACAAGTATTTTGACAACTCTAATCATTCTGATAAGTTTTTAGAATAACCTCTGGAGGAAGTTCCAGCCCAGTAGTCTTGATCTTTAAGTCCAGTGGTTTCTTTGCTGTTATCATAGATTATCCTTTGTGAACTTTGGCTTAGTCAAGAGCTCCTTGTCAATTCTTTCCTCCCTGACTTCTCAGATCATTATGTTCCTGTAATTTTTCTCTTTATCTTGCCTAATTCTCCTAATTCCTATCTAATATTGTCAAACTCCCCTCAGCTTGCCTCCTATCTTTCCTACTTTTCCTGTCTCCTCATCACACACTCTTCAGCAAACTTTCCTAACCAATTGACTCTCCAATTATTTGCATATGATATCCAACACACACTTGCCGATTGTCACTTGGTCATTTATATATAAAAAGCCACAGTTACTCAAGTCCAAAACCAAATTAGTCATCTTTCTTCAAACAAGTGTATTATATAAGTGGCACCTATTGATGTGACTAGGAACATTGTCCACTTAATCTAGAAATGACGACTGTCTGATCTTCATTCCTCACTATTTACTTCATTAGACCAACTGTCCTGTCCAATCCCTCTAAAATGTCTCCAATCTGCTTCCTTTGGAAAGTAAACTATGATTACCTGTAATATAGCATGTTGTCAAATTTCTCAATTTCCTACATTAATTTATCTTTTGACAACTCAACAAAAGAAGTTTCTATAATTGATAGTTGTATTTACTAGCAATAAAATATTATGCACTGTCACTGTCCATTGTCCTCCCGTTGTTCATCGATTTGCTCGAGCAGGTACAGTAACGTCTCCATTTTGAGACTTGTTGTTACTGTGTTTGGCATATTGAATACCTCACGGGTAGCTTGCCAGGCTTTGCCGGGCGGGAGAGATACTCTCGGTGGCTTGCCGAGCTCTCCGAGAGGGGCGGAGGAATCGAACCTGGCCCAGCCAGGCTGGTTGTGCACAAGGGCAATCTGGCTGCGATATCTGTCGCCCATTGATCGCCAGGGCTGATCTGACTGGCTAGGCGGGTGTCCCCTTCCTCCCTTACCTCTCCATGGGTTGAAGAGGATGACCTTCCCCGAATAGAGAAAGACCGGTCTTTGGTCAAGGGTATACGAGTAGCTGTGCTCCCTTGCCAGAACCTCCAAACAAAATATTATGCAATACTATTTATTATATATAACATGTTTATACTGATTATAGTGTTTATCATACATAAGCACTTAATTAACATTATACCTAAGTATTATGCAACAGGTACTACACTGAGTGTTTTTCAACTCCATTAATCTGCATAGTCACATCATAATTTAGGAACTATTTTAAATTTTTAAGGTGAAACAAAAACGGACTGGAGAGATTAAATTATTTTCTTAAGATCATGCAGCTTGCTTGGAAGTGACAATACCAGGATTCCATGTCTATCTGACTTTTAAAATCCTTTTTGTTCTTGCTTTTTATGTTCTTGATACAACTAGTCATACTGCTTCTAGTCTAACCATAACCCCATAACCTTCTACTCTCTATCCTGTCAGCATTTTTTTTGTGTGTGTCACACCCGGGGATGCACAGGGGTTACTGCTGGCAGTGCTTGGGGGGCCATATGAGATGCTGGGAATCGAACCCAGGTCAGCTGCGTGCAAGGCAAATGCCCTACCTGCTGTGCTATCGCTCTAGCCCCAGCCTATCAACATTTTTATCCTCCTCTATCTCTTATCCACGTACCACTTTTTTATATTGCTTCCAGTCTGATCAATCTTCTATAAGTAAAACTCATTTTTATTGTTTTGCTTTATTGCAATTCCTAGGCACTGAGCCTTTGCAAATTGAAGGTTGTGGCCACCCTGTGTTGACCAGCATCATTTTCCCAGTAGCATGAATTTAATTTGTGTTTTATTTTTGGCAATTACTATTATGAATCTGTTGTAGTGATCTTCGATGGAGTCATTACAGGTATTGGAGGCACCACAAACCGTACCACATTAGCAAACATGATCAATAAAGATCACGTGTGTACTAGACCTCCACCAATTTGCTGATCCCCTGTCTCCCTTCCTTCAACCTTAGATTCCCTGAAGCACAAACTTTTTGAAATTAAGCCAGTTAAACCATTATAATAGTCCTAAGCGTGCAAAGTGAACAGTAGAATTGCATGCCTTTCACTTTAAATCAAAGGCTAAAAATGATTCAGTGAGGGAAGCATGTCAAGAAGCTAGTATAGGCTAAAAGCTAGATCTTTTGTTTCAGCTAACCAAGTTATTAACGCAAAGTAAAAGTTGAAGGAAAGCACTACTCAGTGAGCACCTGAATAGATAAGGTAAAACAGCCCCTCATCATTGATGTGGAGAAAGAACTGGTCTGTATGGAAAATCAAATCAGTCACAATATTCTCTCTGACCAAAACCTAAAACAAAGCAAGGACATAACTCTCCTCAATTTTGTAAAGAATGAGAGGAGAGGAAAAGGAGAGAAGAAATATTTGAAACAGCAGAGATTGGTTCATGACATTTAAAGAGAAATGACACTTCATTTCATATAAATGCAATGTGAAGCAGCAAGTATTGATCTGGAAGCTTCAGAAAATAATCCAAAAGACCTAGTTAAGATAATTGATAAAAGTGGCCACATTAAACAACTGCTCTTTCATGGGGGCAAAAAAGGCCTTTCCTGGAAGAAGGTTCCATCTACGAATTCCAGCGCCAGACAGAAGCCAAAGCCTGGTTTCAGAGTTTCAAAAGACAGCCTAGGTCTCTTGGATCTCTTGATAAGGGCTAATATGGTGGTGATTTTAAGCCAAAGGCAATATTTACTATTTGAAAATTGTATGGCACTTAAGAACACTGCTTAATCTACTCTGCCTATGATTAATAAGCGGAATAGCAAAACCTGTATGACAGTATGTATATTTTTAACCCAATTCATTAAATAATTTAAATCCATGAGAGACATTCAGAAAAAAAGAAGATTCCTAAGAAAATATTACTGATCATTACCATGCACCTGGTCACCCAGAGCTCTGATGAAAATAGCAAAGGAGAGGTGTGTGTATGTGTGTGTGTGTGTGTGTATGATGTGTCTGGTTTTTTTTTTTTTTGTCTTTTGGGTTTTCTTTTGGATGACAACTAACACAACATTCATTCTATAACCAATAAATCAAGGGTAAATTTTTACTTTCAAGACTTACTATCTAATTTGTTTAGGGTTACATCTGTCATACACTTTTTGGTTGGATCAGGGAAAAGTAAATGAAAAAAATCTTTGGACAAGTTTCACAACTCTAGATGACATTAAGAATTTCAGTGAATTATGGAAAGAAGTCAAAAAATCAACACTTAGAGGAATTTGAAAGCCTCCTGAATGGCTTCTAGACATTCAAGAAAGATTTTTATGGAGGAAGATGTGGTGGAAAGTTAAGTAGACTCTCTCCAAGCAAAAATATCATTTGCTTGCTGAAGGCTCAGATGGTGATTAGCATTTTTTCAGCAATAAAATAGTGCTTAAACTAAGGCATATACTTTTTAAAAAAAAATACTACATTACATGTTGAGCAGTCTATTGTATAGTGTAGACATAGCCTTTACATGTGGTGTAACTTTTCACTTGACTGTAGTGGTCTGGGTATGAACCCCAATTTCTCTCTGGGACACACCTGGATTCAGCCTCTAGAATGATTTCATCAACCTTTTCTTCTCACTCCCTGACTCCATAGGATCTTTGCTTTCACTGCCATTGTTTTGTAAGGATTTATTAGTCATCTCTTTCAATAAAAAGTCCTTCAGTCGCTTCCTGTTTTGCTGAGCCCAATGTATCATCAGCATCCTCCTGCCCACCTCTTCCGACTGGCTAAGAGAAGGGTTCAAGAAGGAATGGACTGTGCAGAAACGGCTTTAACCTTGGTAGATTCGAATACAAACCCAAAACAAAGCCCATGAGTTTTTCACTACACAAATGACTATTATATTATAGTTATAATGTGATGTACCAATGCAATTTAAAGTGTTTTTGCAAACTATAAGGAGCTTCGTAATCTGTGAAAGTGAGGTGTGATTAATATCCACCCTCGCTTTGTCTGCCTAGGGCTTTAACTAGTTCTTTGGGGGAGCAACCGAAGAGTAGGGGTTCCAAAAACGTGTGTGCTCAGCATGAAGGGAGAGTCGGAGCATAAAAAGAGCTCTGTCTGGAAATCACTGTGATCAAAGCCCAGTTTAAAACTTCATTAGGGTAGCTTTGCCGCAGAAAGATGGGAACAAAATGGGTACCTGCTTAAAACCCACTTCTTTAAAATATCCCTCTAGAAGAGTCTTCCACACCCGATCGCAGAGCCCTTGGAAGGGTGATAGGGGGTCGCAAACATCCTCGCCTAGGCTCACAAGGTCCCTGCCCAAGAGGCTGTCGGTGCTGGCCGCTTCGCCCCGGCCCCGCAGCCCAGGACTACAAGTCCCGACATGCCCCGCGCCCGCCCCACCGCCAGATCGGCGCGGGGGGAGCCGAGTGTTCGGCTGGTGCTGCAGGAGCCCTGGGGACTGGCCCTGTCCTCCCACCTCTCCTGGCTGGAAAGGAAACGAAGAAGAGCTCACATAAAAGCAGTCCAGCCTTCCCCCCGTTTCTGCTGCAGCGTCCGGTGCCCCTGCAGCTTGTTGCACCCACGAGCGTGGAATCTTGTCCACCCGGAGTGGAACTGTGTGTGTGTTGGGGGGGGGCAAAAAATGTGCCCGCCCCCACCACGCCCCTTTCCAAAAACCGATCTTCCCCCCCCACCCGGAGAATCCCCAAAACAAACTCAAAGTGGAACGGATTCTTCCAGCGAGTCTTAGCCAAGAACTTTTTCTCCTTCCAGCTGCGGGTGCAGGAAGCAACTCGGGGTTCCTCCCCGCCCGCGCCCGCGCGCCCCCTGCAGGCCGTGCCCCTTCCCGGCGTCCTGGGGCTTCTTGGAGCCGGCCCTGCCCTCGGGAGGCTTCTCCAAACTTCAGCATCCCAGCTGGTCCAGGTGTGTTCACCGTGTTGAGGGCTGGACACTCGTAGGGGCGGGGCGGGTGGTTCCTGGGGGGGTGGCGCTGACTCCCTGCGCTGATCAAGGAAAGAAACCTCTGGAACACTAGAGATTCCCGCCTTGCCTGACCCATCTGTCCTGTCACCTGGATCTTCCCTGGGTGTGCATGGAAGTTCGGATGTCCAGGCTCTTCAGAAAGGTGCACGAAGTTTTCAGTACATTCCACAGGATCCATAATACTATACGCGCCATACCGTAGCCAGTGTCTCACACACGCCCACACGTTTGGCCTCTGCTTCACACTACACAACACACACAATTTTGTTAAAGCGGAGGGTCAATAGTTTGCTGGGGATCAGGAAGTGGGTCAATTCTTATATATCAACTTATATCCACAAATTGTCAGAAACTAGCTGATACATGCAACCTATTGTCAGATTTTAGGACGTCTTGGTGATCCTTATTTGTTTTGTTTAAAAAAAACAATAGATTTTCTATAATACTCTCTGAAACCCTTCTTATGTAACAGGCAAAGTGGGTTTTTTTTTTTTATCACAAGCAGCAAAATAGCAAGGTATAGCCTTTTCTGTATGTGAAAGAAATTCTTGGAGAAACATCACAAAATCCTTCCTTCTGTGTTAGGTCTAAGGAGTTGGATGAAGCTTTTTACTTATTTCTTAAGCCTCTCTCCTTGAACAGTGGTGGGCTGAACTGGGCTTTGTTCTGAGGATGGCCGGGTAGAGCTAGAGCACCTAACTTCATTCCCCTCCCTTGGCCCCAGGACTCCCAGCCCAGCCCACTTCCAAAGGAATTTCCTTAGAGGTCAGTTTAGGAATTGCAGATCCAGCACAAAAGCCCTCCTGGGGGGAAGCTGACTGGGGGAAGTAAGGGGACGTCAGCCACTCTGTGGGGGGAGGTGTGGAGCTGGAACCCTTTATTTAGCAGTATTGTAAATCTGATGAATACAGAAGGTAAAAGAATCATTAGGAATTAATGGTGCAAGAGTTTGCTTTAGAGGAGTCCATCATTTTGTAAAAGACCCACCTGTTGACAACACACTAAAAAAACCGCTTTGCCAAAATACAAGTACTTAGAATTAAATAACCCCTTATTTAATCTTCAAGAAGGTGAATACTTTCAACATTACTAGTATCTTCTAGTATCCTTAAAAATGGCTCAAGACGAGACAATTTCTTCCTTAATTCAACCTGCTGCATGATAGCAGCAGCTATATATTTTTTTCTAGGTTCTCTCTAAGGAAAGAGAGAATTTATTGTATTCTCTGCCATATCCTGAGTGATTTTGTTGTCATCTTGATCTAAAAGTGTCCAAATACTGATTGGTGTTTATTTCAGTGACAAGCTTGCATATCTCCAGGATATACCCAACACATTTTTGGAAATGGAATGTTTCCCTGTTACTGGCCAAGTACGACAACTGTCAGATTTATTAGGGTAACTTAATCCACATATCATGCCAGTCTCTTACTCCCAGTTTCCTGAATTCAGGGTTCAGAGTGGTGGAGATTATGTGAATCTGGTGGTGGGCACTGTATCTTTTCTCTATATGTAACTTAGTACCAGGTGCACATTGTTCATCAGTATTTGGCTGTTGAATTATGTATGTGATTATATATGTAAAGTACAACTGGAATGAATGGTTAAAATATGAAGCCTCCCAGAAATAACTATTTTCATTTTTATTTTGTAGGATAAGGATTTTCCCATTTTGAATTTTTTTCTAACATCATCCAGTCGAATAAATGCCAAAATAAAGAATGTAGGCATTCTCAGGAGATGGGGTCATCTATTTTGCATCCTCTCTGAAATGTTACTTTCTGCATAATGAAGTAAAAGGATTTCTTGGGGAGTGGCGCTTTCTTGATCCTCACCAGGAGATTACTTAAAAACCAGCTCCTGGAACTTTGTCCACAAGTCTCTCTCAGGAAAAATTGTCACACAGAACTGCAGCTTCCGAGTGTTTCCTGGTTGTAGCACAGAAGCACTGGATTCTTGCCCTTCTTTCTTCCTTTGGAGAGAAAAAAGAAATAGTTTGAAACATGTCACTTACTCTCAGAACAACAGCAAAGACATGTCCTACAGTCATAGAGAAAGGGAGAGAAAATAAGAAACTATTGCCATGGCTTGTTTTCCTTTTTATTTTCCCAGACAGGTGCAGAGAGAATTCTGCAGTTTGGATAGTCGGGATTCGTCTACTCCCACTAATCGTGCTGAAGGTAGTTAGCGAAAGTGAACGGGCACACTGTAGCTTTAAAAAGTCAGCCATGAACCAGAAGGCAGTTGGTGCAGCTTGTGTGTGATTCCTAACGTCATGTTGGCTGAGAGCCAGCCTGGTTTTATTTCACTGTGTCAAATTGTACCTCCTTATTGAATTCCTTTGCCAGCCTACTTTGTGAAAGAAAACATTGGGGTTTCTTTGGCTGTTCTTGATAAGCCTATAAAAAATGACATGTTTTAGTTGCTTCTAGGTAGGTTTTCTTTTTGCTCTTCCACAAAAAAAAAAAAAGAAAATAGTAGTAATAATAATAAGACAATGTAGTGTGGTGTTGCAGAGTAGCTGTTGTTGAGTGTTTTGTTTATGTTTTGTTTTGTTTCTGAGATGCTTAGAAAAATGGTGAATGTGTAACAGTTTCCAACTGAAGTGAAATCATTCCTTTGGCTTGGAGCAGCAGCACTATCTTCTGTCTACTCTGTAACCGGTGTGTGAATGTATGTTAATATCTCTGTATATTAAATGTTGCATTTCTCTAAGAATGATCGGAGTGGCTTAGCAACTTGAAGTTGGCGTGTGTGTGTATCAGGGGTGAAGATTATCCCACACTTAACAGTGTTATTTGTTAACCAATTACTTTCTCTAACAGTGATAAAAATCTGGTGAATATACTAAATGATGTACTTGCCATGTCAGAGTAATCCCTAGAGAAGGAGTGCTGAAGTATAAAGTGATTTGGGAGGAAATGTATTGAATTTATAGCTTCAGCTGTAAAAGAACAAGCAAGCACGGTTCAGAACTATTTTTTAAGCAGTTTTGTTCATAGCTTTTTTAAAAACAAATCTTGTTAGTTGCATATTAATTGTGGATGGTTTTTTGTTTGTTTTTTGTTTTTTTCACAGTCTTCATCCTACTAAACAAAAAGACAAAGTGATGGATGCTACTATATCTCCTTGATTGCTTTGGTGATTTGTACATAAATCTGATGAGTTGCCTATTCTTCTCTCTTTATGCGCGCACACACACACACACACACACACACACACACACACACTCGCACCCCTCCCCCCAGGGCTTTCTGTGCTAAGACTGACATTTTTGTGAGTGTCCAGCCATCTCATCGACAGGTTTTTGAGGCTTTTGCTGAGAATCTGTGTGGTAGGGGAATACTTGCTGACAAAAGCTTTAAGTGCCCCTCTGCACTGCAATTAAAAAAAAAAAAAGTATAGGAGCTGGGGGAGTAAACAAAAAAGAAAGAAAGAAAGAAACCCAAGCAAAAAGACAAATTCAATAAGGATAAAGAAATTACGACCCATGCTGAGAAAGGGCAGAAGAGGGTTCTGTTGTTCTTGACTTTGACTCATTTATGAGTTGCAATGTCGTAAGTGAGAGCTTGAGCTTGGCACCCAGTGGAAACTGTGCCAGTTCACACAGCACTTGTTTTGAAGGAGGATTCAATTTCATTTGCAAATGCTTATTGTCAAGGCAAGGAGTGCCAGTACAGATGAAAGCACCCCAATCATCTCCGGTTCTTTAGGTTTAATCACGTCTCGCCAATCGCTGAGAGAACGGAAGATTTAAACAAACATACGTGAAGTGGGGTGAAGCTGTAAAAGGGACCATTATGTTTCCGATTCAGAATCTATATTCTCTCACTTTCTAAGAATTAAACACAAGCTTTTCTCCCTTATTGATTAGTTGCTGAAGTAAAGGAACTGTGCAGCGTTCCCATGCTATCTGTTGACATGGAAAACAAGGAAAATGGCTCTGTCGGTGTAAAAAAGTAAGTGAAACTGCCTTGTGAGTTCTGCTTCTGCAAACAGAGGGACTTGGTTTCTATTTTTATACTTACTGCTTATCACTACAATACACTGAGGGTTGTCTTGATTGGTCTACACTGGCCACCAGCTTCCCTTCTCGCCCCAGTCCCTGTACCCTTTTTTCTGTATTTCCATTTCTCAGACATAGAGAACTCAGACTTCAAACTATGTAAAAAGGGTTAGCTTTGGAAAAGGAATGGTTGAACATTTAAATCCTGCATTCTGTATACTGAAACAAAAGCACCCCAAAACATATTCTGCCTTGCAAATCTATAGGCTGCAAGAATGGGGGCAGAAAAGAAAGTTCAAATCTTTTAAAATAAAATCATTACTCTCAGAGCTGAGAGCTATAACAAAGAAAGGGAAAAGCTTGAGTTAGAACTCTCTAAGTTTAGCAACTTATCAGTCCTGATTTTCTGAACTGATGACTGAGTGTAAAACATTTCAGTGTATCTATAGTGTTCTATTTTAATATCTGTCCTGACATTGGAACCCTGACTATGTTTGTTGTGTTACATGTCTGATTCTTTTAAATCGGAAAATTAATTTGCATATTCTGAAATGGGCTACATAATTCCAAACAATTCATAATGTTCATCTGTGAGTGTATGAGAAAAAAATGTATTTCTCATTTAGGAGTTATCTTGAAACCAAATTTTGATGATAAGGAGCAAGTTAGTTCCAAAAGAGTATTATGTTTCAGCTTTTTCATATCACTGAGTTTAAAATGAGCCTGAACTTGAGTTTAAGAGGAAAGCAATTAAATGTAATCCCAAAGAAGCTCTTCTGTGTCAATGGGAAAACAGTGTACCGTATGGTTTGTGAATTGAAAGTATATTTTGCTTCCCAGAAAAGTTATATGCAAAAAAAATCAGTAAAATCTGCTTTTTTTTAAAAAAAGCTCTCAGGTGAGTTATGTGTACAGAGCTGGGTGACCATTCTTGAAGTTCATAGTAGGTAAATTAGGGGAAACAGAGCATTTTTGTACTTAGGCATGCTGCCACCAATCAATATAAAATGAGTCTGCCTGCAGTGCTCTGAGCAGCCGAGGGACATTCCAGGTTTTGTGTTGGACTGCCCAGTGTGGTGGGTGCGAGGCTCTTTACGTATCTATTAAAACTTAAAATGTGACTAAATTAGCTGATAGACTGAGTACCTAATTTTACTAATTTCAAAAGCTAAGGGATATGGATAAATAGTACAGGAAATGAGGCACTTTTCTTGCATGGCTCAATGATCTACTACAATACGCTGCATTCTGTCTGCTGAAACAAAAGCACCCCAAAACATATTCTGCCTTGCAAGTCCATGGCTACAGGAATGGGGACAGCAAAGAAAGTTCAAATCTTTTAAAATAAAGTTGTTACTCTCAGAGCTGAGAGCCATAACATAGGAAAGTTCGATCCTGGCACCCCATTTGGTCTCCCAAGCCTGCCAAGAGTGATCCTTGAGCACAGAGCCAGGAGTAAACCCTAAGTACCGCCAAAGGTTGCTCCAAACCCAAATCCAAACAAACCAAAAACACATTTAATAGCTTTATTGAAATGTAAATTGCCTGTGTTTAAATTTGATACATTTTTATGTTGGCATGTACCTGTGCCAACATTATATCACAATTAAGGTCATTCGTTTTCCCCAAAGTTTGCATAACCTTTCTTATGCCCTTCTTTGGTTCTTCCTGCCTTCTATTCCCAGGCAATAACAAGTAGGCTCTCTGTCACTATAGTTTAAATTTTGTAGAATTTTATCTAAATGGAGTTGTTCAGATTTTACCTTGGGAAGGGAGTTTTGTTCTGGTTTCTTTCAACCATGGTAGTTGGCTTGGGGGGCAGCCGTTATAGTGTGTGTTAAGAGTCCATTACTTTTTATTACTCAATAATATTTCATTTAATGAATATATAGAAGGTCATTGAAGAATATCCTTTCCTTCAAAGATATTTCATTAAAGCATAGATGAGAAAAGAAAATACAGCCCTGGCCAACATTGAATGAAGTGCATTATTTGAAAACCTGTTTTCATTGCATATCATTTTGCTTAAAGCAGCTATTTCCAAGAGCCAATGGACAAAATTAAATGCGTGCTTATTGTACAACAATTTTTTATTTGTCCATCCACTTTTTTGATACGCATTTGGGTGTTTGCATTTGGGGGATGTTACCAATAAAACCTTCTTAATCATTTGTGCACAAGTCTTTGTGTGGTCATATGCTTTATTTTCTGTTGGATAAATATTTAGTTATGGAAAGGCAGGGCTGGATAGTATGTTTAATTTTTTTAAAATTTCCATACTGGGAGCTGGAGTGACAGCACAGTGGATAGGGCTTTTGCCTTGCAAGCGGCCGACCCAGGTTCAATTTCCAGCATCCCATATGGTCCCCGAGCACCATCAGGAGTAATTCCTGAATGCAGAGCCAGGAATAACCCTTGAGCATTGCCGGGTGTGACCCCCCGCAAAAAATAAAAATTCCATGCTGCTTTCTAAGCTAGTTGGTCCTTTTATATTCCATCAGCATTGTCTGAGCATTTTATTGTTCTAATTCTCATGAACTTGATTTGATTCATCTTTTTCATATAAGACATATTAGGTTTGTTTTTTATTTATATTAAATCATTAATTAGTATGATTAATTAGAATAATTAATCCCTAATTATTCCGTTATTGTCTTTCTTGTGCTTATTATTAACATATCTTTTTAAGTAAGGTATTATTCAAATACTTTTTCTATATTTTTTAGGCTATCTGTTACTGTATGGAGAGTTTTAGTGTATTTTTGATACAAGTTCTTTGACACATAAGTGACATACTATTTTCTAATGTTATGTTACTTGTATTTTCCTTCTGTCTACATCAGTATCATTTTTTTCAAAGTGCAAGAATTTTTTTGTTGGATGTCCACTGATTTATTTTTCATTTTATGGATAGTGTGTTTAGTGTTAAACCTAAAATTAAAAAATTTTAAAAAACTTGCCTAAAATTTTGTTATGTTTATTTAGATTTGAGACGATAATTTTTTTGTGGGGTGGGAAATGGAATTTGAATCACATCTACTGGCATATGATTTTTTCCTTATCATTTTATTTTGTTTATATGTTGAAGTGTTATTTTTAACATTTTTTATTAAAATTTTTTTAATAGTGAGACATCATGAGGTACAGTTGCAGACTTACACATTTTTGTGCTTGGGTTTCAATTATACAATGATCAAATACCCATCCCTCCACCGGTGCCCATTTCCCACCACCACAGATCCCAGTATCCCTCCCACTCCCCATCCCCCATCCCACCCTGCCTCTGTGGCAGGGCATTCACTTTTGAACTCTCTCTCTTATTGGGTGTTGTGGTTTGCAAAAGAGGCAATGGGTGACAATCATGCTTAGTCTATAGTCTACTTTCCGCATGCTTCTCCCATCCTGGGAGGATCTTCCCAACACCCTTTATTTGGTGTTCCCTTCTTTATCTGAACTCCCTTTTCCCCTAGTATGTGTGGTTGGCCTCCAAGCCATGGAGTAAAATTCCTGGTACTAATCTCGGCCATTCTTGGGTGTTAGTCTCCTATTTTGTTACTTTATGTTCCCCAGATGAATGCAATCTTTCTATGTCTATCCCTTTCTTGCTGAGTCATTTCGCTCAACATGATACTTTCCATGTAGTACCACTTGTATGTAAATTTCGTGACTTCGTCTTTTCTAACAGCTTTTCTCCATTGTGTAAATGTACCAAAGTTTCTTTAACCAGTCATCTGTTCTCCGGCACTCAGGTTTTTTCCAGATTCTGGCTATTGTAAAGAGTGCTGCAATAAACAGACAATTGCAGATGTCACTTCGACTATAATTTTTTGCCTCTCTGGGATATATTCCCAGGAGTGGTATTGCTGGATCAAATGGGAGCTCAATTTCTAATTTTTTGAGACTCGTCCATACTGTTTTCCAAAAGGGCTGAACCAGTCGGCATTCCCACCAACAATGAAGGAGTGTCCCTTTCTCACCACATCCGTGCCAGCATTGGTTGCTTTTGTTCTTGTGGATATGGGCCAGTCTCTGTGGTGTGCAGTGATATCTCATTGTGGTTTTGATCTGCATCTCCCTGATGACTAATGATGTGGAGCATTTTCTCATGTGCCTTTTAGTCATTTGGATTTCTTCTTTGTGAAAGTTTCCATTCATTTCATCTCCCCATTTTTTGATGGGGTTGAATGTTTACTTTTTGTGGAGTTCAACTGGTACTTTGTATATCCTTGACATTAACCCCTTATCAGATGTGTATTTGGCAAATATCCTTTCCCATTCTGTAGACTGTCTTTGTATTTTGGTCACTGTTTCTTTTGAGGTGCAGAAGCTTCTTAGTTTAAGATAGTCCCATTTGTCTATCTCTGTTTTTCACTTGCTTGGCCAGCAGTGTGACATCTTTGAAGACACCATTAGCTTCTATGTCATGGAGGGTTTTGCTAACTTTTTCCTCAATGTACCTTATAGATTCCGGTCTGATGTTGAGGTCTTTAATCCACTTAGATCTTACTTTTGTACATGGAGTTAGGTAGAGATCTGAGCCCATTTTTTTGCATGTAGCCGTCCAGTTTTGCCAGCACAATTTGTTAAAGAGGCTTTCCCTGCTCCATTTCACTTTTCTTGCCCCCTTATCAAAGATTAGATGCTCGTATGCTTGGGGGGAGATGTCAGTATATTCAACCCTGTTCCATTGGTCTACAACTCTGCCTTTGTTCCAGTACCATGTTGTTTTAATTATTACTGCTTTGTAGTAGAGTTTGAAGTTAGGGAGGTTGATTCCTCCCATTTTCTTTTTCCCAAGAATTGCTTTAGCTATTTGTGGGGGCTTATTGTTCCATATAAATTTCAGGAGTGTGTGCTCCACTTCTTTGAAGAATGTCATGGGTATCCTAATAGGGATTGTGTTGAATTTATTCAGTGCTCTGGGAAGTATTGCCATTTTGACAATGTTAATTC